CAGTTTCCTGTCCTCCCACAGGGGACCCTGTTGCGCAGGTTGTAGTTCCTCCTGCTCTTAAACATGACATACTTTTGCAGCTCCACGGGGCCCCAACTGCTGCTCATTTTTCTCCAGAATGAGTGTGGGAACGGGCGAGGCGTTTTTGCTACTGGCCATCTATGTTTAAGGACATTAAGATATGGTGCGAGCAATGCACAGCGTGTCAAACTCGTCGTAAGCCGGTCCCAACTCATCAAGCACCTATGGGTGGGTCCCTGACAACGCGACCCTTTGAGAGAGTCGCAATGGACATTTTGGAACTACCAATAACAACCAAAGAAAATCGGTATGTACTGGTAGTGGAGGATTATTTCACAAAATTTGTTAACCTGTATGCCCTGCCTAACCAATCTGCACAGACTGTCGCTCACTGCTTGTTTGAGGACTACATTTTGATACACGGCATTCCTGAATCTTTGCACTCTGATCAGGGCCGCCAGTTTGAATCAGAGGTGGTCTCGACTCTCTGTCGTTTGCTGAATATAAAGAAAACGCGCACCACTCCCTACCACCCAGCGTCCGACGGCATGGTGGAACGTTTTAACAGAACATTGACCGATCAGATGGCTAAGATACTGTTGTCATGTGGGGGTGAGTGGGACAATTATATCAAACCGGTGGCATTTGCGTACAATTCTTCACCTCATTCTAGCACCAAGTTTTCACCTTACTTTCTAGTTCATGGACGAGAACCAAGGATGCCCACTGACTTGTTACTAGCCACGCATACACTTGACCAGAACATTTCAACATCTCATGCTGCATTCGTGTCCACTTTGCTTGCAAATCTACAGGATGCTTTCAGGAGTGCTAGAATGTACAGTGAAGTGGCTCATGATCGGCAGAAACTGTATCATGATTCAGGCCTCAGACACCAGCCCTATGCCGTCGGTGCCATGGTGTGGCTCCATAATCCAGTGGAGAGCCGCATGAAGCTGGCGCCCCACTGGAAGGGACCTTTTAAGATTGCACAAATCTTTGACTCTGGTGGTGAGCCAGGACTGACATACTGGATCGTTAGCCCTATGGACTCAGATGGACAAGGACAGGTTGTGCATTACAATAGGTTGAGACCTTATACATTGCCGGTTCCCACACTGTCATCTGATGAGAGACTATCTATGGTTCCTCATTCTTTGCCTGATTCCCCTTCTAAAGAGTCTGACATGTTAGGAGGGTTGCAGCACAGTGAACCTCAAAAGGATTTAAGTGAGGCACTGGAGGGACCTGATAAGTGCATACCTGGTGTGAGTAGGGCTGGGAGGAGGTTGAAACCCCCTGGTTGCTTAAAAGATTTCGTACTGTACTAATGTACATGTTAACATATATATATATAAAAAAAGGATTGGACAAAATGACGACTGTTTAAGTAAATTGTACTGGTGTTTTAGATGGTACAAATTGTTTTAGGGTGAGATGCAGATTAAGGTATTATGCATGTTAATGCTTATTATTATTGTTTTGTTGCCTGTTCTATCCTTTACTGTTTGAAAGATAAACGAGGACGTTTATTTTAGGGGGATGGGACGTATGTAACATACATTTTGAAGTTGATGTTAAGGCTGTGGGGTTGTCTTTGTGTGTGTATTGCTTTTCTGTCCCTCGGGGCTTGCTGTAGGCAAGGTTTGGGCACGCACATGTTAACGAGAGCGCCCAGGTGTGCCATGTGAGTTTCTTTGGAGTTAAGAAGAATAAAAAGTACATCGTTCATATAATACCCGAGTCTCGCTTTCTTTATTTTATTATTTGAAAAGTGTTTAGGCGAACCCGAGGCGTAAGCTCGGTCACACTAGTTTTATTTGCGAATTTGCCGGTTTAGTATCTAGTAGATTATTAGTATTTAGTAGATTTATTATACGCGTTATTAAACGTATTTAGAAAGAGCTGTTTAATGTCAGGTTTCTTTGTGACAAGTTACCCCAGAAGCTGTGAGCGTGTGCGCCGCTACTGGGGCATGTTGTCACAGACGGTCCGGCGGAAATGTTTAATGATTGAAAGCATTTATTTGATGATTTCTGGCATTGACTCTCAGTGCTCTCTTGAAATCGGCGCTCGAGTCGCTCATAGACCGCAAACATAAAGCATTTCAATAAACAGCAACAACTTTACTCACCAGACAGAAGAAAAAACAGACAGTAGCCGGTGTGCAAAAGAGCTCTGGTTTTCATCGTACAGTCCGAAGAACTGATAGAAGAGTGACCCAACAGAGTCCAGATGAGGAGAGAGAGAGAGAGAGAGACAGAGAGCGAGATCCTCTCCAAATACAGATGAAGTAAGCATGATTTAGAAATAGAGAGAGGAAGACAGACACACATGGACAGAGCAAGAGCAGAGGATCTGTAGACACTAATCTACAGCAAACACTTTCTGCTGATTTGTCCTAAATATCACAATGTGAGGGAAACATTTCTCCCCAGATTTGAAGAACTGATTTCCTCATTTACTGAGAAAATGCCCTTCATACTTGAAGATGACAACAGCTGCAAAATTAGGCATTCACAATGTTAGGTGTTAAGCACAGTTAACTCTAAACTGACTCATTTTATCTTTTCATTTATTTAGATGGATTTTATTTATTTGTCATCTGTTGTTGTTTTGTTTCGTTTTATTATTTATATATATGTTAATGCTTTGGCAACATTGTTACACAGTCATGCTAAAAAAGCTTAATTGAATTGAATTTAAAAAAAATAATAAGTGAGAGAGAGAGAGAGAGAGAGCAAAACAGCAAACGCACTCAGAATTCGACCAGCGACAAGTTAAACTGAATTGCTTTTCAAAAGTTAAACTAGGACGAATTCAAGTTAATATTCACCTCTACCTCTAACTCGACATGCATCTTAAAAACACAACACGCATGATGCGAGGTCATATGTGACTATGACTTTGTTACATGATAAAGCACATGAGGATTTTACGGTTTCACCATGAAGTACACATTTAATACTGGCTGAGAGACTGGAGGGTTTTTATACCTCAGAGAAAGATCCAAATAATAGAATAAAAGATCATCCTGCAGTCCATATTTAATGCAAGGTGTAACCTAATAAACACAAAAACATGTCAGAACTTCTTTAACTGGGTATTTTTCAAAACACTTTGCTACAACTGCTACATCGGTCTCTGTTTCTATATTAGTAGCTATATGAGAATAATCAGTGTGACCCCAATGTTCGCTTTCCAAGAAATGATGTATGTTTCAAACAGCTGCGGATTCAGACTGAAATCCACAAACTCCATAACTCTCACTCCCAGAGTCCGACACTGTCCCGCATGCATGTTTGGGAACATATAAAACCTCCAACACTTCTTGGTCCTGTTATATAACACACCTGGACACTGTATAAAGAGATACAGTATTCTGCGCCGTGAATGAAGGTGATGCACTGTAGTCTGGATTAGGACACAGCCAGCAGGTGTGAATGTGAGTGACAGATACAGACACAGCCAGCAGGTGGCGCTGTACATATAGTGATTCACATCAGGTCAGATCTGAATGTGCTTTCAGGTGAACACAAGGAGAAACAGAAGATGAGAAATAAAAAGACAGCTGATAAATGCTTGAGTAGCAAAGAGAAGACTATCAAGCAAATCAAGCATCCAGACAAGAACAGACACATTTGTGCAGATTTGATTAAGACTTTGCCAAAATTGACATGAATGGCTGCAAATGTGATAAAATATTACACAGTGAATCAAACCTCGTGTATCTTATCAAGACCACTGAAAAATAAAACAGATTATTGGAGGCCATGTTTTACAAGAAAATACCATTTCAATCTCTCAACTTCATAAATTCTTGTTTAATCAAGTGTTATGCGTAACTACTTGTGAAATTTACTAGCAACTTCTGAGTGAAAATAGCTTTAAAGTAAAGATTTACCCAGGCTTAATATGTAGAGACTGATAAGCCATTTGTAGCTTTATTTCCCTGAAAAGTGGAAAAAAGTGACTAACAGTGGCTCAAGCAATAATAAGAATTGGTGGGCGGGGTTAACTGTTGTTTCTGACCAATGGCAGACGAGGGGAGTGAAACCTGTTTGGGAACAATCATAAATTCTGGAGTTCCATTTGGTTCGACTCGAGCTTTAAGCACTTCGCAGTCATATTCGGTCATATAATATGTGACCCTGGAGCACAAAACCAGTCATAAGTGTCAATTTTTCTAAATTGAAATTTGTACATCATCTGAAAGCTGAATAAATATATTGTTAGGATAGGACAATATTTGGCCGAGATCTGGAATCTGAGTGTGAAAAAAAAAATCAAAATCAAAATATTGAGAAAATCATCTTTAAAGTTGTCCAAATTAAGTTCTTAGCAATGCATATTACTAATCAAACATTAAGTTTTGATATATTTAAAGTAGGAAATTTACAAAATATCTTCATGGAACATGATCTTTACTTAATATCCTAATGATTTTTTGCATAAAAGAAAAATGTATAATTTTGACCCATACAATGTATTGTTGGCTATAGCTACAAATATACCCCAGCGACTTGAGACTGCTTTTGTGCTCCAGGGTCACATATATCAGTGATCAGATCTCTGTGTGCAGCACAAAAATCTCACTGGATTCACAATTAATGGCAAAAGGAATGTTTAGAAATGCAAACTGATATTTCCTACTGACACACTACAGCAAAAGATAGAAATAACTGACTTGAACCCATTTTTAGCTGGTGAAAAAATACTAGTGTTCTAATCATTTTGGCCACCGCTGTATATATATATAAAGCATGAGTTGATTGAGATCTCCGGCTCACATCCCATCTCGTCTGGACGGCTCTGCGCTGGGCTGCTGGATGCCTGCGGTGTGGCTCTGGAGGAGCGGCTGGAGGAACAGACCCAGCGTTCCCACCACACACACGATCACAAAGATCCACAGAAACAGGCGGTCCACCACCATGGCCACGTACTTCCAGTCCTCGACGACCTGTGGATGCACAGAGACCGGCTCGTTAATAACCCTATTGACCCGTTAGGTGCACTAATAAGGGAGGAGGCAGAATGAGCAGCCGCTCCGTCTCTCAGACTGCTGTCCTCGACACTTTCTGATGCTCACTATTATTCTCTCTCTCTCTCCTTCAGAGTGATTTAAGCACACGATCGATGCTCTTACAATGGGCTCTGGCTGAAGCGTAAGCATAACATATGCCGTTTCCCACCTCTGTTTGCCAACTGTGTGTCTGCTGAATAAATATTATTTGTTGACATTCAACTTTTACTGTACAATTCGATCTGTTTTAAACCCATAAGGTAATATCTTACTAGATATGCACAGAAAGTGAGATGTTAGACTAGTGTTTCCTGTAAATACACAGAATTTCAGCAAATTAAACAAACATATAGTTAAACTAGTATAGATTCCCCTGCTCCTGTGGAACACAAAAATAGATATTTTGGTTTTTTTTTTTTTTTTTTTTTTGAAAGTCAATAAGACTCACAAACTGTCTGACAAACTGAACAGTTCACAAATACTTTATGTTTTAGATCAATAGGAGGGCAATTACGACCCTCAATTATGATTTACAAGTGAAACCATAAAAGTCATAAAAAGTTCTACAAGCCATCAATCCCACTAACGAGTTCTTAGCATGATATGGAATTACTGATAGTATGAGCTCAACATTTATTACTGTTCAAATGTTTGGAGTCAGAAGTGCTTTTACTTTAAATAATACTTTGTTTTTAATAAATAAAAATGCAATTAATACTTTTAATCCACAATGATGCATTAAATTGATCAAAACTGACATCAAATATACAGTATATAGACTAATATTCAAAAGTTTGGAATAACTGAGGATTTTTAAATGTTTTTGAAACTATTTGAAATTATTTGAGATTTAAATAATAATAATTTTATCCAGCATTAAGGACACATTAAATTGATCAAAAGTGACAGTAAAGACATTTCTAATGTTACAAAAGATTTATATTTCAAATAAATGATGTTCTTTTGAACTTTGTGTTCATCTGTGAATCCTGAAAAATAAAACGTATGACCATTTCCACAAAAATATTGATCTGCACAACTCTTTTCAACATTGATAATAATCAGAAATGTTTCT